TAGTTGAGGGTGACCAGGCCGGCGGCGGGGGGCAGTTAGGGGCAACCAGGCCAGCAGGCAGAGGTGGTTAGGGGTGATCAGGCTGGCAGGGGGGTGGCAGGGGTGATCAGGCAGGCAGGCAGGTGAGCGGTTAGAAGCTAGCGGTCCCGGATTTCGAGAGGGATATCTGACAGCCGGTTTAGGCCCGATCCCGGGACATCCCCCGAGGGGTCCCGGATTGGAGAGGGTGCAGGCTGGGCTGAGGGAACCCACCCCCCTGCACAAATTTCATGCACCAGGCCTCTAGTATATACATGTATCTTTAAGCACATAAAAAATAACCAATATTTGATGCTATTATTATAATGCTAGGTACATAAGTTTAAAATGTCTCATTTTCTTCAGCCCATTACATATATTCAATACATATTAACAATTAGTTGAAGACATAGGACAAAACCATAATCTAGATACTTAGAAAACTGAAAGGTCCCTTCACCACTTCAATCAAAATAATGTCCCTGCTCTGCAATTTATTGTATGTAAAACTAAGAAGACAGGGACATCTTTTCTATGATTTACCAGTTTTTATAGAAGAAAACCTGTTCCCACAGGAAAACATGTAAAACAAAGGTGCCCTTCTGAAAACCAATGCCTCTCAGAGCGCTCCAGGGAATCCTCAGGAAATATATTAGGAATGAACATTAGAAAGACAGAAACCAATGATCAAATAAGCTTTTCATATCCAAATCTCCAAAAGACCATTTATATATTTAAATTTTTTTAGCCGATCTTAAGAGAAAACACACATATTTTGACAGTTGACAATAATGACCACATACCTTGGATTAAATTTTGCTTCTTCCATCATTTTTTTGAAATCTTCCTTGGCTTGCATTATTTTGTTTTTCTTTTCCCTGCGTTCTTCCTCTGCCCTAGTCTTTACATACTGATCAAATACCTATCACAAAAATAAACCAATTTGACAAGTTAGTCTTTCATATAGGTAATTTAACTACCAAACTATGGAATCTATTAAAAAAAAACCAACACACTAAGTCCCTATCTAGTCCAATCTATAGTAAGAAAATATAGGTGACACAATTATATGCAGATTATCTCTAGCAAGTCTCATTTTAAAGCTTCAGCTGACATGACAGTATTACAGTAGCATACAGCCCTCTGCTTAGGCTTCCAGAATAGAATAAAGCTAAAAGCCCCTTTAATTTTCATTTTCCCTGATTACAAATTGAATACATGTTTATTAAAAAATTTCAAGCAATTTAGAAATGTTTAAGAGAAATAACAATCCTCCCAAATCCCTTCTAGATAAAACATTAACAGTATGGAATCCATAGTTTAATTTTATATCTGTGCTTCTCTTTAAGATATAATTTTCACCAAAATAACCATGCTTTACATCTACTGCATATTTTCCCCATTTAATAATGTATAGTCAAGTATAAACTGAATATACACATCTATTTCCTGCCTTTTACAAATACTAATAAAATGACAGTAGAGGAATTCCTTTTTTAAAGTCACAAGAACAGGAAAATGGCAAAAACGCTGGAAGTTGAAAAATGGACAAGTGGTACAGGATTTGGCAGACAGAAGAAAGCAGACCCTAAACCAGTAGTCAAGAAAACAAAGGAATTAACGAAAAACAATTTCTCTTAAAGACCAAGAATTTACCAACTTTGATTAAAGTCACTAGATACTCAAAAGAAAAACAGGAAATAGTTTTTTAAGTTCTTAGTTTATTAATCCTCTCATGAAAAAAGTACACAATCACCACAGATAAAGCCACTGAATAATCTTTGCTCCTTCTTGTCCCTTCTCCAGCTCACTTTTTGCAGCACCAACATTGGCCTTTGCCGCCCCCGACTTCCTCCATTCTGTTCTTGCATTCCTTTCTGTTTTCTTGAGGTCTTCTTCTCATACAGTTCCATGTCTTACAAGTCTATGTTTGGGTTCATTTTTCTTTGCATAATTCAAGGAATCATAAATCATGACAAAGCCAGTTATCTTCCTACCACCAAAATGGGTTCTAAATCCACACACACAGATGACATCTGGTGTGGTCTTACATATTTTGGCTAGTTTTTCCTGAATTTCTGTCTTGGGTACCGTTGTCATCCCCAGGTGAAGGATGTCAATGATGATTTGTTTCTGCTAAAGTAGTCTGTCATGAACTTCTTGGTTCGGATACTTACTGTGTCGTTGATGATGAGGCCAATCTTCAAGCAGCCAGGGAGGAAAAAGGAACTTTTTTTTTAAAGAGAATCCTCACAGCTCAGGAATTAGTGGTACCAGACACACATGGAAGTGAGAGTGGGGGTACCGCCACAATAAGGCTATTTAGGAGGTGGTACAATCACTAGGCCCCCCAACTCACCAAGTTTACGTTATCTGGGGGCACTGCCACTACTGAACTTCAGTAAAAGGCAAGTGCTTACTCCTAGGGCAATATAAGCAAAAGAAATCAATCTCACTCTCTCTCTCCCCTGCCCTTCTCCCTCCCTCCCACTCTACTTAAAATCAAGGGAAAAATATCTTCAGGGTGAGGATTAACTAAAAAAAAAAATCCAGTCAAAAGAAGGAAGCATTTCCCTGAGTTCTGTGAGTTGTTATGGCAAATTAACAAACCTGAAGAGAGGGTCATGGGAACCCCTGAAATGCAGCCAAGATAAAGAGGAATGTGGGTAAGCTGGGGACCTACTACTTGCGTCTGGTGTCTTGTGGGACTGAGACCTTAATCTGTAAGATCTGATGCTAACTCCTCGTAGACAGTGTCAGAATTCAACTTAACTGCAGGACACCAAGCTGGTGCTGGAGAACTGGTTGGTTCAGGGAAAAAATGTACACATTTGATGTCCAAGTACTCAGTGTATAGGGGAATCGTTTTTCCTTTTTAATAGATCTCCATTATTTGATTCTTACATCAATGTAACACAATTTATAATTTGATACTGATTCGGTAAAGAGTGGCCTAGATGGACAGTTGACAATGAGTAATTATACTGGTAATGTATTACCATATTGTAACACTGTCACTCTTATGCAACTCTGAACAATAATGCACTATATGAAAATACTTTCATTTTAAATTTTGAAATGTTAGCATAACTTCTCCCTAAACCCGAGCTTAACATCCTGTACAGAAATGATCTGGTTATTTTCGAAAAATGTCACACATTTTAATCTGTCAAAACAAAACTGTGCCTGATCCAAGGTGGGGGGAAATGGATGGAAAGAGACTTTGCTTGGGGTGGATGGGCGCACGATGCATCGTGCAGATGTTTTGTTGAGTTGTACACGTGAAACCTGTATGGTTTTGTGAACCAACGTCACCCCAATAAATTCAATAAAAAATAAGATTAAATTAAAAAAATCATAAGTTAAAATTGTGGTAATAATTACATAAAACACGTCTTTTACAATGATGTGTATATATGTCTATAGATAACTAAAAAGGACAAAACTGAAAGAGATGTAATTTACATTGAGGCATTTTTAATGAAATTGTTAGGTTTTTCAAATCAAAGCACAAATTTGAGATATGAAGTTATCACATGCAAGTATGTAATCTAGGACTTAATTGGCTACTCCTTGATTTTATACTCCCAAGAGAATTATTTCACACAAAGTACTGAAAAATATATATATTGAATTCAAATGTTAACTTCTCCTTTCTCTCATTTCTTACATTCCAGTTGTAAGAAAAAAATTCTAAGAGGAGTTTTTATATAAAATAGAATAGTGCTTGCCCTGGCCGGTGGCTCAGTTGGTTGAAGCGTGATCCCGTGCACCGAACAATATGCACTATTGTGGGTTTGATTCACAGTCAGGGCACATGCCTGGGTTGCAGATTCGATCTCCACCAAGGTGCGTGCAGGAGACAACTAATCAGTGTTTCTCTCACGCATTGAAGTGGTTCTCTCTCCCTTCCTCTCTCTCTAGAATCGATAAGAATATATCCTTGGGTGAGGAGGAAAGAAAGAAAGAAAGGGAAGGAAGGGAGGGAAGGGAGGGAAGGGAGGGAAGGGAGGGAAGGGAGGGAAGGGAGGGAAGGGAGGGAAGGGAGGGAAGGGAGGGAAGGGAGGGAAGGGAGGGAAGGGAGGGAAGGGAGGGAAGGGAGGGAAGGGAGGAAGGAAGGAAGGAAGGAAGGAAGGAAGGAAGGAAGGAAGGAAGGAAGGAAAGAAAAGAATGCTTAATACTTTTTCTCTTCTTAAGTGTAACTCCACTAAAGAGGTAACACCATCAACTTACAAAATATTTCCAAACATGAGACTATGTACTTGTAATTTCACTTACTCAGAAACTAACACTCAGTGCTATAAATAATCTCAAGTCATAAAAATTTTGAAGTTTTCAAGGATATTTACGTTAAGCATTATTCTAGGACAGTGGTTCTCAACCTGTGGGTCGCGACCCCTTAGGGGTCGAACGACCCTTTCACAGGGGTCGCCTAAGACCATAGGAAAACACATATATAATTACATATTGTTTTTGTGATTAATCACTATGCTTTAATTATGTTCAATTTGTAACAATGAAATTGAGGGTCACCACAACATGAGGACCTGTATTAAAGGGTCGCGGCATTAGGAAGGTTGAGAACCACTGTTCTAGGAACTACATTTAGAGCAATGCACAAGACCACATTCCACCTCTCACAAAATTTATATTCTGCAGAAGCAAGAGACAGATGATAATTTTAGACAATAAGAGCTATACATACTATGACAATAGTAAAGAAGGCAAAGAGATGGGTTGATCAGAAGGCATTTGGACAAGTACCTACATGAAAAATCTGGGGTAAAAAATTTCTAGGCAGAGGGAATAGAAAGTACCAGAATGTACCTAACTGGCCTGTTCAAGGCATATCAAGGCCAACGTGGCTAGAATGAATACATTTAAGAAAAGAGCTTCAAGAAGTGTGCAGGCATAAGTGTATGTAGAAGCTTATAGGCCATGATAAAGTTTCATTTTATGCTAAACAAAGTGGAAGCATAGCACAGATTTTAAGCAAAACAATACTGCCTTAATTTGTTGCTTAAACTTCAAAAGTTGCCTGGCTGCTGTGTGGAAAAAGAACTTGACTTCGGAGGAGCAAAAAGGGAAGGCAGCAAGGAGCTCAATGAGGGGCTACACAATGATGAAAGTTGACCATGGCGGTGGCTTGGATTAGGGTATTAAGCACTTGGAGTTAGATGAGTTTATGGAGGTAGATTTGCTGATAGACTTGAAATGTACACTGGGTCTCAAGTAAAGAATTAAGGTTGATTTACAAATTTAACAATTAGGGTTTTGATAGGGCCATAACTCAGGTGGGAATGAGACCATCACACACTAATCGATTGTGTTTTGTTTTAATTTTTTTAAAGACTACTGTGCTTGAAATGCAGATAATGCAAATATATTTAGAAAGCCATGTCTTTCTATTACAAGCACACTGTAATATGTCTGGCACACTGTAATTTTCTTCTTTTCATAAAAAGTCTACAACTAGACCTACATACAGAATGACACAAAATGTGTATAGAATTATTCCAACCATTAAGATATAAATATGGCCAAAACCGGTTTGGCTCAGTGGATAGAGCGTCGGCCTGCGGACTGAAAGGTCCCAGGTTCAATTCCGGTCAAGGGCATGTACCTGGGTTGCGGGCACATCCCCAGTAGGAGATGTGCAGGAGGCAGCTGATCGATGTTTCTCTCTCATCGATGTTTCTAACTCTCTGTCTCTCTCCCTTCCTCTCTGTAAAAAATCAATAAAATATATTTTAAAAAAAGTGGTTCAATATACTCACCACTTTAGAGAAATCAGTGTCGGGGTAATCCAGGTAATTCAGAAATTATAGAAATTGGAAGTGTGCAATACTTTAGACGAAGAAGAAATCACCCTGAGATGATGTGTTACTGAATCATCACGGGTTAAGTGGCAATGGAGCGTCCATCTTAAGAGATGCCACTCAGATGTGAACTTGGTGTGTATAGTGTGTGTAAGACATAAACATGCCTCCAAGTATTTTCTGTTCAGAAGACACACACACACACACATGTATTAGTATGTACCTGCCAGGAAGGCTATAAACCAAAGTGTTCAAAGCTGATCCTGCCTGTTAGGTAGAACTTTAAGTGGTCATTTTTCCCTTTTCTTCATCTATAGTTTGCTATTTTTCTACTCCAAATTTGCATCATTTATCTAATAAATTAATAAATGCATTTGAAATGAATTTTGAAACCTTCTTAGATATAACCTCAGTTTGTATGAGGCATAAGGATAAAATGTTCATGAGGCAATAGCTACATCCATAAGGGCAAAAATATCCAAGTACTTCTAAGGTAGAAATGTCCACACAGAGAAAGGATGACTGTGTTATAAGATATGAGACTGTGTTTTTTTTAAAGCACTGCGTTAGGAAAAGGAAAGAAAAAAGATGATACATTATTCCTTACAATTTAAAATTTATACTTATAAGTGATATACACTTTTAAAATAATGTTATTTTCCTTTTACCTGTTTTCGTTCTTTAGGGTTGAGAAGTAAGTATCGAGGATCAAAAACTATCTTGTGCAACTCCTTCTCCCATGTTGAAAAAGCAGACACCTTTAACATAAAAAATGTATTGCCCTTCATAAGTAAGTTGGCTCTAAAAACATAAAGGTCATATAATTTTGCTTGAAATCTACAGGACATCTGCTTAAAAAGGAGACATAATAAAAAGCACCCTGAATTTTCCATCACTAATAAATGACAAGCAGTGGGAGGTGAGTAATAGCAAATTTCCACACTAATTGGCTCTGAACATTTCTATATTATATAAAAATAAGACACACCTAATTATTCATTAACATAGCCACTACTGTGTGACATTTTAAAATCAGTACATCAGAAAACGCCTTGAAGATCTGTATTTTGATTTCCCTAGTTTGCTCCAATCTTGTGAACAACATTGTGATTTAAAACTGCACAATTTTAGTTATTCAAATGAGTCTGAATATAACCAAAAGAAATTCCTTCTCAATTAAGGTTCATTAATAATAAGATCATAAAGTAACAGTTCTCCTTTAACCAAAAGCCATTATGAAGATATTAAAGGAAGAATCGTATATACTTTACCTATCCTGAGTAGTCCGCCATTCTGCAATGTTAATACTCGTCTTAAATTACTCACCAAAATTTAATGACTCAATAAATGTTAAATATCATTTGTACTTAAAAGAATAGTAAGTAGCATTAAGTTAAACATTATATAATTAGCCAAGAAAATGGCTGAGTGAAAAGATACAGTAATTTGATAGGCTTCCCTCTCCCCCCCCCACAACATGAGCACTAACCTTAGATTTGACCTTTTAGCAAGACATATTTATATTACTTATACAAAACAGAAATATCTCCCCCAAAGATTGTTTTCTGACCCCTCTTTCTAGCAGCATGTCCTTGAACTGCTTCATTCGGGCCTCCAGAGGGACAATGGCCCTTTCTCGGGCAGCTTTAATTTCAGCTTCCATTGCAGCTTCTTTGTCTGAATCAATGTCTTTATTATCGTCTCTCCTATAAAAAATAAAAGATAAGGCATCAACTGACAAAATATTAATAAGAAATCTTACTAAAATCTTAAAATAGATGGAATGTTCAAGACTCACTACTGAAGAGCATATTTTTGGCAAAAACAAATTATATTGAGGGTATCTAATGAACTCTAAGGGATAAGCAACTTTCATTTTAATAATAAAGTTACAATAAGCTTCTAATGTTACAATGGCTACATTGTAAGAGAATATATATATACTTTTGCTCTCCCTGACACTAGTTGATATACAAAATTAACTACCTTACTTAAAAAAACAAAAAAACCACTTATCTCACATTGCAGTCAAACTCTATGTGTTAGAATTAAACAGCACAGAATATAACTTTTAGTTCTTGAAATGATATAGAAAAAAATAGCATTTTCTAAAATGTTTTATGTTATAAATGCATAAAATATTTTTTAAATCTAATAAGAGTTGGTATAAGTCTTAGTAATCTCAAATTTATTATGAAAATATCTGCAAACTTGGCCAAGTGGATATGTGAGATGTATACCTTACCTACCTGACATTTTTTTTTACTCACTTTCTGGGTGATAAGTTGAGATTTAAGTTGAAGAACAGGTCCCAGAGAGCAACATAGGCCCAGGAGTAGTTAGGTGGAATTAGAACTGTTCATCAATGACTAAACTACTTGTTCCTCCAAAAATGCACCTCAGGGCTAAGGGCAACCCTGCTGCTGAATGGTACTCAAGGGAGATTGTGAACATGAAATCCAGTCACCTCTCAAACATCTGCACTATGAAGAAGGCCCGTTCATGTGAATAATAAAAAAAAAATTAAGTAATTCAATAGTAGTTGGGTGTGTTTGAGCAGATCTTCCTTCTTAAATATGATCTGCTAAATATAAAAATAATGGTTCAGATTCCCTACAGAAACTTAAGGGAATTAGGAAAACAGAACATCAGAAAATTCAAAAGTGAAGGTAGCCCAGGAAATTTAAATGAAACTAAGGCTAACCCTCAAATATGGTAAGGGAGAGGTAATTAACAACTTAGGGAATGAATCAAAAGATATAGAAGACATAATCCATGACCTGCAGGAACTTAGCGAGATAGTCTGTGACCTAAGATATGCACAAAACAAACAGGTAAAAGCAATTTGCCAAACAATATACCCTCTTACAATAATTTATTTATGAACTATTTAAATAGAGTTAAAAGACATCCAAGAAATATAACTAATGAAAACAACCTTTACAGAATTACTAAATGAAAATGTCACAATACAAACTATCACTATCTATCTCAATAAAAGAAATAAAGAGAAACTAAGCCAGGAAAAAGAGGCTTTTAGCTTTGTACCTAAATAGAGAAGCTCGGGCAATCCACATAAAGGACTTCTTTGACATTCTCCTGATAAAAGCAGTTAAAAACCTTACAGAGTTGTCTATAAGAACAAACAATTAAAAACAACCTAAAAGTTTAACATTGCAGGAATATCCGAAATTACGGTACATAAACAGAATGAATACAGTCATTTATAATAACTAAGAAAACAAATGTCTTACTCTAGATTAAAAAAAATACAAAATCAGTTAATTACAACTAATAAAAATACTTATACATTTGGTCAAGAACTAAAAAGTCAACTGAAAAATGTATGGTTGATTATGAGTGACTCTCTTTAATATTTTAATTTCTTTAATGTTGTTGCCAATAAAGACATTAAAAAAAACACAACACACACACACACCCTTGATAGGGCCTGCCTTACTGTTTTGTTTTGTTTTTTCTGCCATAATTTGGCTGCATTCAATCTGTCCTTTTCAGATAAGGACTACGATAAACTAGTCCCTAATGCCCTCAAATTTTCCTTTTTGCTGCTAATGGTCCCATCCCCCCACCCCACCCACACACAAACACCCTCTATCCCACCCTTCTTTCTACTCCTTATAATAGTAACATTCATATTTTATCCAACGCCAGAGCATTGGCCAAGCTAATACTTCTACTTAATAGCACTCTCTTCCTTTCAGAACACTTTCTAAGCTCCTAGGTTCCCTCTTTACCAGGACTAGGACTAGGGAAGTGACAAGTATGTAAAAAGAGAGAGAAGTCTGTGTCTGCATTTATGAGATTCCTGGAATGGTGTCTGTTGGGGTCTATTTTAGGGAGGAAGTATTTTTTTAATAAAACACAGGCCTAATGAATATCTGAAAATAACTTATCAACTAATTCCTAAAATGTCATTTGGCTTCATAAATGTGTATTTGAATAACCAAATCTTTTGCAAATCTAATAACAGAAGGACACACACCATTTCTACATTCTATAGCAAAGCCTTTTGGCTTAAGACACAATCACTTCTGTCAACATATACACATTACCTGTCCCCAATCACGAACTGAATGTGGCCTAATCAACTTTTAAAAGCTACAATCTACCTGAATTACATAAACTGTAAGTATTACTTACTTCCGTTTTTTGGCTTTAACTGGTTCATCTTCATTAAGTTCTTCCATTAATTCTTGTTCTTCCTTAACTGTAGGGTAAAATTTAATTAACCTCTGTCAGAATACAAATAAGCAAGCAACAATTGAAATGTTTAAGTGTGACTCCTCCTGCTAGCCACTACCAAATACTTGCTGTAACAGTTATTACAAAGAAGCTGCAATTGACAGTTCACTTACTTGCACTCATAGAGAACTGCCACTTTTGGATGGACAGCATAGTCGGGGTTGGATGCCCTGGCAAAAGTATTTCAAATATTAAGAAAAATAGTTATATGCATATATTACACAACCTACTTTTATAAAATTACTGTTTATATAAAATATCCATCCCATGATATGCACTCCTTTGTAAAACACTAAACAAAGCATGGTAATTCTATGCCTCCTCTATTAATCCCCCCTTTACATTAAATATTCACTTCATTTTGAAATGATTCTTTGATGCACATATCTATAATAATAAAAGCGTAATATGCTAATTAGACCAGACGTTCTTCTGGACGTCCTTCCTTCCGGACAAAGCCACAAGAGGTGGGGGCTGAGGCAGAGGCGGCAAGAGGGCCCCGGCACTGGGGCCAAGCCCTTGCATGAATTCCATGCATCGGGCCTCTAGTTTATTAAATAAATGGATTGAGTACTTGAAAACAGATTCAAAAAACTTTCTTGGCATGATTCAATACTATGGTGATAAAGTATTATCAATATCATAGCTATGCAGCAGATATTGCTGAAGGAGAAAAGCTGGTGCCTAGTATTTTTAGCACCGGGTAGGCCAAGTTTGACTGATTTAGAAATCAGTTATAAGCAGAAAATGTTAGTACCACATATACACAATCTATGAAGATTTCTACATCATCATAAATGACATATATTAGGGTTTGCTTCATCTGCAGTATGTATTAAATGATTCATTTATCATGCTTCTACATGACATGGGATTCTACACAAACACAATTACATCAATACAAGAGCAAACTACTGATGAAAAATATGCAACAAAAATTATTTACAAATATTTGTCTTCATTATATATACTAAAATGCTACCTAAATATGAGGTAGATTAAAGATAATCTCTTAATAAGGTTTATGTGTCTCTATATTCTCAGGCATAAGCCTTACCCTTCCCTAAATTTCACCTACTGAAAAAGACAGATAACCTCTTTTTTTTTTTTTTAATATTTTATTGATTTTTTACAGAGAGGAAGGGAGAGAGATAGAGAGTTAGAAACATCGATGAGAGAGAAACATCGATCAGCTGCCTCCTGCACACTCCCTACTGGAGATGTGCCCGCAACCAAGGTACATGCCCTTGACCGGAATCGAACCTGGGACCTTTCAGTCCACAGGCCGATGCTCTATCCACTGAGCCAAACCGGTTACGGCGACAGATAACCTCTTGTATGTTCACAAAATCTTGTGTTTTTGCATTCTACAAAAATTTAGTAAACATATTTTTAAAATAGAGTTTTGATTATTTCAGAAAATATATTGCTAGTCACAAAAGGTGCTTTTTAAAAGGTTCACTGAAGATTGTTTTAGTATTACTAGCAAATATGGAACAACATCAGTGGTACCAACCCATCCTGTACTAAATGAAATCCTGACAAGGACAAGAAGGAAAAAACTACATATAAATAGTTTACAAAAAAATAATTTAACCCAAAATCTCTATTTTTTATATCTCTATCACTGAACTCAAACTAGCATAGCAATCTAATTTCCACTTCTCAAGTTTCTTATGTTCCTTGAAAACAGAACAATTTTCTAAACATCCTCAACATTTTCTGTTGAAATATTAAACAATGCTAACATTCTGTGATAAATTCCTAAATTAAAACTTACTTAGCTTCCTCAATTCTTCCATTCCTCTTTTATGAGGGGGCTCCTGAATAATTTTGTCAACATCCGCTCTTCCAATGAGATCATCAGGTCGGTCCCACATAGAAAGACGGGTGGTAGGATTATAAAAGAAGACCCGCTCGTCACCAGTCCAAACAACACACCTAATAAGTGATTCAAACATAATGACCTTAGGTTATGGAACACATGTTATAGGTAGGTCTTTCACTGTCATCCTGGCAAAAGGGATGGTGGTGGTGGAGGGGAAGGACATGTTTATATTACTAATAGTTATTTATAGGGAACCAAATATGGCTTTTAGAAGAGAATTGACTAAGGTTAAAACAGTAGTTTCATATATTGAGAAAACCAGGAAAAGCAAAGCAATTTGTGATCAGCTTAAAATGCTCAGACACTTGGTCTGGCACACTCAAATTGAGAATGCTACATTTTAAACTATCACAAAGGATGTGTTTCATGGCAACAATAATGCAATTAAGCATTCTAAAGCTAACCAACATACCATAGGACCATAGCTTTACATAATACTTCTTAATATTTCTTACCAAACCAGAATTACTCAAATGTAACCTACTATGAAGCCTTTATATCTGATTTCATCTAGTATAAAAAATAAAGTACTGACTGAGCTATGGCACTGTAGCCCACTGCAGCTCACTGTTCCTGTTAATTACAACCAGACACTCAGACAAAATAGGAAAAAAACAACAATTACATGAGGACCCTGTAAAGTTAAAAAAAAGTATAGAGGAGTCAAAATTTAGAGAAACAACTGCAAGGATATAAACCTCCCATTTCTCCTCCCTCAAACCTCTGCCCTGAGGGTGGCTCCTAGTCACACAGTGGCATGATGACAGTAGCACAGGCAGCTGAAACTCCAATAGAAACCAGGTCTTTTTGGCCAGACAATCAAGTTAATCAACAGCTGCCAAACCCAAGGTGACCTAGATGTTGAAATTATCAGACAACGTCTCTATTGTTGAAATAATCAGACAAAGGCTTTAAAGCAGCAATTATAATAATTAGGTTTTATGACATAAAGAAAAACTTGAAAAGATAGGCGTTCTCAGCACAGAAATAGAAAATATTAAAAAAAAGAAAGAAAAATGAAAAATACAACTGAAATTAAATTTCTCTGGATGGTGATAATAGAGGAAATGCTCGGTCAACCAGAAGACAGACAAATAATTATCCCATCTGAAGACCGGGGTGATTATGTCAAAATACCTAATATACAGCACAACCAGAAACTCAAGATCCCAAAAGGAGAGACGGATACTGGGTAGAAAAAATTTGAAGGCATAATGGCAAAAAAAAAAACAACAAAAAACAAAAACCCAACTCTCCAAATTTGGTAAAAGACATTAATATTAAAGGTCAGTGAATTTATGGAAAAATTTTTGAGCATTCCCAGACCCAAAATTCAAGATACACACAATGTCTTTACTTTGTTCGCCAGAAGCAAAACCCTTAATTACATCCAGTTTTATGCTGTGGCACACCCTTATGAGCTCTCTTGGGTGTCTTTTCTGACACCTTAGGACACATCCTGCTAACAGACGCATAAAACAAATCCTACAGATGCTCACAGACGCACAGTTGAAAGCTATGGCAGCTTGATGCTGAGATGGTGACTGTATTTCCCAGGGAAAGAACTTGGTGAGGTCATTCTAGCTGCTGGAAAACAAATGCTGAACACAATTTTTGCTTTTCGCCTTTTTTCTTTAAAAAACGAAAATCCTCTTTGGATTTCTTTTAGTTAGTGAAAACAGGTACTAATGTAGGTCTTTTCTAAAAGCGAAATGCATAAGATGAACTTTAAAAAAGTAAAAAATACCTATATTCAGATAGATTGTAAAAGCAGTAAAAACATATAGTTGCTTTTTGGTGGGTGGGAAAGGGAATGGAATGCTTCAAAGCGTCCCAGGTTCGATTCCCAGTCAAGGCATATAATCAGGGAGGGTATAAGTTCAAACCAGGGTGCGGATTCGATCCCAGGTCAGGGCACATACAGGAGGCAACCAGTCAATGTTTCCCTCTCACATCGATGTTTCTCCCTCTCTCCCGTTTTTTCCCTCTCGCCCTCCTTCCTTCCCCCCTCCCTCTCTAAAAAATAAATAAATAAATAAACCTATAAATAAATAAATATATGTATCTTCCATCTGTGTCTACCAAAGAGATCACAAAATAATGACTAATTCAGTAAAATAACATCTCTAAATTCCACAATGAGGCCTATTAATGCCACTTCCCACAAAAAGAAACCAGTGCTCCTTGGAGAAATGGCTAAATCTAGATCTGAGACAGGAAATATATGAGATAAGCCGGGAACATCTTGTAAGAGCAGAAAGCAAGGAAGGTATCAAAGACAGGGTTATAACAAAACTAAACAAAAAAACCTCAAGAGTCCATCTTAAGAGGCTTCACCTAACCAAAGATGAAACTGTACATCAACAAGGATAATAATTGCAATAGATAGAAACATAAAATATATTTAAATCTATGAATTTGTAATACTCAAACCAACTCATTATTCTGAAACTGGCATATCCTTTCTTTCCTATGCAATTTGTTAAGGGGAAGCATCTCTTAAGTATTCCAGTTAATACCTGGAAAAAGAATGATAGAAACACATTACCACCACTTACTGATTTAGTGGATCTAGGCCAGGTTTTGCAATTCAGCACCACTGGCATTTTGGGCCAAATAATTCCTTCTTGTAGGGCGCTGTCCTGTGCATGGCAGAATGTTTAAGAAGTATCCCTGGCCTCTACCCACTAGATGTTACTAGTAACTGCTATTAATGCCTTCCAAGTTATGACAAGCAAATATGACTCTAGACATTACCAAACATCCACTGATGGGGGGATGGGAAGGAGGGAGTGGCAAAGTTGCTCCTCATTGAAAACTACTTATCTAGGCAACAAATAATCAGTAATGACTGGTAACATCACACAAAGAAACACCTAGATGCACCCTGAGGAAAAGGCACATCATCACTTACGAACTAGTCTTGCCAAAAGGATCAAACCTGAATCTGATCACATCTCTGCATCTGCTTGCTAGTTTGTAGAAAATTCAGAAATGGAGAACTCTAACAGCATATAGATGCAAATACAAAATCCAAACTGTAGGACTCTATAGAACAAACATGTTTATTTTTTTTACAACAAAAACAAGGAGAAAAAAGCAAAATAAACAAGTTGAAGGGGAAGCTACAGATTATAAGTCAACTTGCTGCAATGTGGGGACTATACTGTATATGGATTAAGTTGCAGCAGGAACAGGAGAGAAAGCACTGATGTGGGGAGATAAAGAAAAGGGAGAACCAGCTCTAGCAGGTTTGGGTCAGTGGATAGAGCATCGGCCTGCAGACTGAAGGGTCCTGGGTTCAATTCCTGTCAAGGGCATGTACCTCAGTTGCAGGCTCCCAGCCCTAATTGGGGGCATGTGGGAGGCAATCAATCAATGTGTCTCTCTTACATTTTACAGTGGGTCTTTCTCTGTCTCTCCCTCTCCCTTCCACTCTCTTTCTAAAAAAAAAAAAAAAAATCCTCTGGTGAGGATTAAAAAAATATAAAAAGAAAAGGGAAAACCAATAAAAATCTATTTTAATAAATAAATACTTTCTAATTAAACCAAGTACATACCATGGAGTACCAGGAATAGGGGTAGTAGCTACTGGCTTTGCCTTCTGGGCAGCCTTTTCTTCTTCAGTCATCTCTTCTTCTTTGGGCTCCTATGGGAAATGATATTACTCCCACTTTATTAATACCATAAAAGTTTACTAGAATGTTCCAAAAATACAAGTATCTGCAAATACCTCAAAGTGCAACCAACAGGAGGTTTGCTACTAGCACAGGAAGGGGAGACTAAGTAGAAATATTTAATAATGTCCTAAATCCTGGCCCTCTAGACACAGGCAAATTCCAGTAGAGCAGACCCTGGCAAGAGCAGATGGTCCTATCTCACAGATTAACTAACCATCTGCTGGAAGCAGTAATGGGGAATACAGTATACAAAATGAAAGGAGACCTCTTCATTTAAGGTCATTTCCTTTTTTGGCTAACTTCCTTACTAATAAAACATGACTACCATTGCTCCCTCACCAAATAAAGAAAGTTTCTAAAAACCAGAGCTCTTTTAATGCTGTATGGAGACCATCCCATGCCAGGACAGATGAAATATAATGAACATTCCTCAAATATGAATTTGTACTTATAACTTTAACACATGCCAGTCTGTAAGTCAGAAGGTTGGATATCAGGTCCAAGCTCTGGTCTAAGGCCCTTTCTTTCTACAGGCCTTGATTTACTATAAGTAGTAGTTTAATGAAACTTTCAAAGGAAAAACTGAATGAGAAACTTCAAAGAACACTAAAATTTTTTAAATCAAATGTATAACAATTACCTAAAACTATTTCAAATGATTCTTCAGTTACAAGTAACTTGTACCCAACAATCAATGTCAGCTGCCATGCTAACAGGTTGTGGCCCTTTACCTCTTTTATCTCTTTTATTGGCTCTTCTTTAGGATCCTCCTCCTCCGTTTCCATTGGCAAAGGTTCTTCAGAAGGTTCTTTAATTGGCTCTTTAATCTTCTCTTCTAATTTTTCTATTTAAAAAGTTAAGATAATGTCACGCCATGGTTTTGATGTAATTTTCCAAAAGCTTTCAGAGACTAAGCAGTTAAGATATTCCATACCTAGAAGTTACTAACCATAAAGATAAAATGTTCTTCCTTATAATATCATTAATTTGAATCTATTATAATGCTCAACTTCAAATACCTTGCTATGCCAATCAGGAAACTGTCACTAAAAAGAAGTACTGATTTCAGAGGGATATAAAGTCTTTCAGTTCATTCATACATCATTTGTAGCATTCATTTTGCTAAAAGGGACAAAATATTAAGATACTTAGGAACAGAAACAAACTTGCGGTATAGAAAATTATGAGTTTTCTTCATCCAAGACTTCAAGGGCCTAAATTTTTTTACCGCATTTCAGAATATATACAATACAAACATTCCTTCCTGATCAGTACTATCAATCTTAATAATGATATCAATAATTATACAACAAAATTATGCAATTCCTGATAATAGTAAAAATATGTATTTGTATGTAGGTATAATTTAATTTCTCCAGATGGAAAAATGATGGGACAAATATGTAGTAGATGAACTGTTTTTTAAGTAAAATAGATGTTTATTCAGTAAGAATAAATAATCCAACTATGCAATTAGAAAATCCCTCAAATGTGTTAGAAAGGAATTAACTCAGAATTTCAAATAGCCTTCTATTTATAATATTGTTTATATTATGTCTCACCAAGTCATTAAACTATACCTTTTTCTTTCAGTTCTTGGGGTTTTTCCCAGGTTGATTCTAATGTTCTATTATTATAATAATATGTCTTCCCATCTGCTGTTTTATATTCAGTCCACTCAGAAACAGCTGTTGCTCCAGCTAAGGTAGCAGGTGAAGCTGCAATAGCAACCTGGGGATGTATCATGGGTACAATAGGAGGGGCCATTCCTGGCAACACACCTAAAAGAAGAAGAAGAAAAAGTTAGACCCAAGTATCAAACTGCAATTCAAAATAAAACTTTAAAATGAGCTAAATCTTTCTATTAAATATTAATAAAAGAATGAGCCAGTTGGAATAAAAAAAAAATTCCCATAAAATGTGACTTAATTACTCAAATCGACTTCCCTGGTTTATTTCTAATGGCTAAATTCAATTAGATGCATATATTCAACCCAAGAAGTACCTTAAGAATAGTCAGAAATTTGAGTCACACCTATGATGAACTCTCAACATAATAAATTATAAAAATCATGGTACATTCTCTACTTATTAACAGAAATATATTTTATAAGTACTTCTCAAATTGTAATAAAATAAAGGCAATGAACATATTTACTGAGTATATGTCCTGAGACAAAATTATTTTCTAATTCTAAGGTATCTAAAAGGGTATGAATAAAATTCTCAGCTTAAAGTAAATTACTGAGTTTTATCAAATCTACTTTAAATATTAAGTGGTTAAGTCAAATATCCCTATAAACTGTCAGTCAGTTTAGACTTTTCCTTAAAAAAATAAAAAGTTTCTATTTTTTGAAAGGTAAGCCAGAATTTGTATTTTTACAAGATAGCTAAAAAAAGTTGACATTACATAAATAATATAATTAAGATTATGTGAATTAAAATAGAAAAATCCTCAAGTCCTATACTAGAATTTAGGTTTTGGGTAGTTATCTCCAATAACTTTAAAATGTAAATTTATACAATACACACAAATATTCACACACACACACACACGTACACACAAATACTCACTAGCATGCAAGCATAATCACATCACTTTACACATGGAAATGATTTTTTTATATTTAACTTAAAAACACACATCAAAAAACAAAATTAAATGTTATGAATATGAGAATGAAGTTGTTTACACTTATTATACAAATTAAGTGATCTGACCTTATTTGCTTTTGTGAACCAAAGAAGCTAATACTACAGGCAATTGGGAAAATCAAGTGTTGGCCAAATATGACAACTGCATTTATACTGCTCATTAAAAAGAAAAATATAAAAAAATCCACTCACTTGGGCAAAAATAAATAAATAAAAGGATAAACAACAACATTCACTACCATGCCAACTTACAGACAAAACAAACTAAGATGGTTTTAAAAATTACCGGTCTTGGTGGTAGCGACTGTCTTTACATACGGGCAGCTGACTATTTGCATCATTGCTACACCTGTAAAATGGATAAGCAAGCATATGTTGGAAAGCTGCCATTGTATGTCGGCTACCACTGGGATTCAGGAAAATAATTTACCACTACAATTTAGAATGCTATTTCCAAGAATGGAATAAAATTTCTTTTTGTTTGACATTTTGTGGGAAGTGGCGCCAAATCCAATGATAATTCTAAATTATAGCATCAATTACCTTTTTATCAACCAGCTGTGATAATATGTGAAGGAGTCTAGAGAGTTTAAATTCAACAAAGGAAAGCCCCTTCGTTACATATACATAACAGGTTCTCACTGGGACCTTTTCTCACAGGACATCAAACCCATGCTGCTGTTGCTTAGATACCAGTGAAAGGCAGATGCAGCATGACACTGACAAGACACTTTCTCTGCTGCTTCTATGTGGGAACTACATGCAGAAGCCGAGGCCTGGAGCATAACCATGCAGAATAGAAAAAGATAAGATAGGACAAAAAGGGTGGGAGGGAAAGAAAGAAAAAAGGATATGAGATGAATTCAAATATTCCACTATAAATAAAAGGGCAAAGATGAAGAGTAGGATAGCGTTCAACTAACGACAGAATACCCACGTTCCGTGCCTGCCCTATTCAATGCAATGGGCTTGGAACACTGTGAAGGCAGGCTAACAGGTCAAGGAAAAAACAGCCCTTTAATCTCATTAATAACTCCATGGGCTGTTTTGCTTCAGAAACCTCTATCACTTAAGCCAGCTAAAGACGTAGCACTTGTATTAAAGAATGGAAATTATGTACAGTTCTTAGAAGAATAAAGATTCATAATGCATTACGATGATGATATAAAAAGGGAATAAAAAGAAAAGCTGAAAAACTAAGGCTAATTGAGGACATTCAAAATTAAGAGTGAATTAAAAATACTTTTAAAGGAAAAAGCTAAAGGATAAAGTAAAAGGGAATTTAATTTTATTTTCTATTTGTTTTGCCTAAAAAAACTAAACCTAGTTTGGTACCAATAACATTTAAAATAACGAACTATTTTCTTTCCCTACTAAAGTACTGGAAAAGAAATTTCTCCTCATTCAGAGACAAAAATTAAACCCCTGGATTTGTATATAATGTACCTATGTTCACGCACACACACACAAAAATACTGCTAGTTTTTTAAAAAGTGCCTTTTTTTCTTTTTAACTATTTTAAATAAAGGACATTAAAGCTAAACTTTCTATTAACTCTGAGACTACAAAGAAAGCACTGATCATAAAAGCATGCTGAGTAAAGTTATATGTATAGTTTTATTTTCTGCTTAAAGAAAGCAATGGAAAAATTCACTTGGTAAAAAAAGTTACATGTATTAAGTTTAAATTAGTATAAATGCTGCCATCTGCAGGACCACTGAACCTATTAAGTCAGCACTAGAAATTCAAATCCCAAAATACAGGGTGGGGGGCAAAAGTAGATTTACAGTTGTAATACAAATAAGTAATACAATAATTAATAAATAATAATACAAGAATAAACTTTTGCATTCTCATAACTATAAACCTACTTTTGCCCTACTGTGTATATAAACTTCTCCTCAAAGACGGTTCTCCAAAACCAACCCCCCCCAAAGTAATTTTAACTATATGACTTAAACAGAAGAAAATAAAATCTCTTTGTATTTGTATTTAGGCATAAATGTCATTGTTAAATATCAATCGGGGCAACATATCACTCTTGTATTTGACTATCAATGTATAAACTACACTGAAAGGTCACGTGTTTCTTCTCATGCTAAAAGAGAAGGTTTTCTCTTTGGGTGATTATTATATGCATATCATGAAGACACAAAATAACCCCACATCTAAATTTTTAACCTTCTTTTAAAAGGAAGCATTGGCTGGGTAGCTCAGTAGAGCGACGTCCCAATACAGCAAGGTTGTGGGTTCAATCCCCAGTCAGGGTACATACAAGAAACAACCAATGAACATATATGTGGATGGGTGGAACGACAAATTGATGTTTCCCTCTATCTATCACTGGCTCTCCCTCCCTTCCCCTCTCTCTCTCTCTCTAAAAAAAAAAAAAAAAGAAAAGAAAAAGAAAATCAATTTTTTTAATCCATAAAAAGTAAAATAAAACAAAATAAAGGGAGAATCTGTTCAACTCAGATACACCTCTACCCTCAAGTTATGTTGTATTAGGAAATTAAAAATTCCACTTAGCATTTTGGATAATTCTCATGTCACTGACAATAAGTTTCTTAAAATTCCAAATAAGATTTTAGTCTTAGAGATAAAAATCCTAATCCAATTTACTATGCCCATTTCCATCTCTTATGCCAATATTTTCCCTAATTCTTCCCCTCTTTTTCTTCATCTTGTTTGACTATCCCTTCCTTATAATCATCCCCATTAGAACTACATTGCTATTTCAGCAGCATTTAAAGCTCCAAGATAAATTACATCCAAATCCCTCCTTTTCACCTTAATGCCAAATTAATATAATTCCTATTATATACAATGAGATAGATGTCATTGTACATAAAACCAAAGATCTGGAAAAGAGAAAAGCAAGTCTTTTCTTTTAAATATATTTTTATTGATTTCAGAGAGGAAGGGAGAGGAAAAGAGACAGAAATGTGGCAGCATCCTGCATACCCCCTACTAGGGATTGAGCCTGCTACCCAGGCATGTGCCCTGACTAGAAATCAAATTGTGACCCGATTCACAGATCGACACTTAACCACTAAGAAACACCAGCCAGGTAAGTCTTTTTCTTTTCTAGTAAAGTACCTTGGAGGAACAAATTAAAGGAAAAATGAGAAAATGAATGAACATTAATATAAAAGATGCCTTGTTATATAAATAAATATGAATAATACTTTCTATAGAACACTAGCTCCCTCTCCAAAGAATCTTGTTATCTTGAGCAAAATTTTACAGAGTAACTCAAATTCTCTTCCAATTGACCTACAAAATGTCATTAGTGTCTGCCATTTATTAAATGCCTTTTACTTACAAACTTCACAGGTACCACATTTGGTCAAATGGTCACCACCATCTGTTCTAACATTTGATGGGTAGGGTCAGAGAAAGACCATGACATCAAAATGGAACTGTAACTGGAAGAATTTTATTGTGACAAAAATTCCACTTTCTATAGAAATGAATTTTGCTATTCTGTACCTTTCACCTGGTGGTCCTATTAAAAACCTCTAAAACAAAATGAAAAGTCCTCTCATAGATGATAGCCTTTCAAATAATGTTATTATGCAACCTCTCAATCTTATCTCTACAGGATCAATAACCCCAGCTCTTAGACATCACTCAGAATCCAGGATCTGGTCTTATACTGTCCTTGACCCTAAAGAAGACCAAGATTGCACGATGTTATCAAGAATATCAAGCTATTCTCTATCAGTTAGTTTTCTACAAAAAGTATGTCCAAAGAGGAAAGTAATCCAACTAATTTTAAATTTAATTTAGAAAGTGAGTAATCCCTATTATTAGAGAAAACATTTTTGGTTTTATAAACATTGTACTGGGCATTTAATTATCTAACACTGTCAACATGTAAAAAGTACCCCCCAAAAAAACAACACACACCACCAATTCTTCAAAGTTTTTGGTTTCTTTCTTGCAAGATGCAATATCTGAAAGTGCTCTTTTCAAAATAGTCACAGGAAAAAGACCAGAGAGTGATAATTAAAATGTGTGTAAGTCTAAGAAACAGCTGTATCACAATCCTATTCTTACACAGAAGCTAGTACAACAAAGTGGTAATAGATAGTGGGAAAAATGAAAAATTGGGATACAAGAACCCTAGGTTCTATTCATCTTTGCTACAAATTAGCCCTGTGAACTTGACCTACGGCATAGTTTTCAACTATAATATTAAAATAGGCCTCGGATTAAGGATTAAATGCATTCAAATTAGGATGCCCAACATTATCACTGCTTAATTCATACAAGAAGAATTATACTCCACAATCTTTTCATTCCTTTTCTAGATGTAACGATTTCCCCTAAGACAAAAAAACACAACACAGAACCATGAATTCACCATAATTATCTAAATGTTTAAATGGTGCATTTTACACTTTACTTCACAATTGTTACAAGGGAAACTTCTGATTTCTATTTTAGATAAATTTTTTACAATTAAGTGACTCACATTTTCATTCCAATATAGCATAGTTATTAAGAGCATGGTACTTTGATCTGAAATGCCCAGGCTCAAATCCAACACCATCACTTATGAGTTCTGTGTACCTACCTCAAAGATGGTTGTGAAAATTAAATTAATTACATGTAAAGTGCTCAGAATCATGCACAATATATAATAAATCACTCAACTTGTGTTACCTATCAATGACTTACGATCTCTCAACTTCATAGATTCAATCCCTTAAAAATACTGCACTTAGAACATATTTACACAAGATAATTGTTTTTAATTCATTGAGGCCATTATCCAAAATGGAGTGTAGCGTTAAATGTGGCTCTGATTTTAAGACATGTAAACAACAACAAAAAGGACATTTATCAAAACTGAAGAAAAAATATTGCAGTTAGCCATGAATCGTTCAAAAACGTTTCAAACAGGTGAGATTCAAGGCAAATTTCAAATGCAACAGACACATGAGAACAAACTAACTGACAGTATGAAAACATAGCTGGAAATATTATTATAATCTATTGGTTTACCTGGAAGTGGAATTGGCATGCCAGGAAGGGGAACACGAAACGGAGGTACCATTACTGGTGGAAAAGCAGGTATTGCTGCTGCTGGTTGAGGTACTGAATGAGGGACAGCAGGAGGTAACGTCTGGGGGTGCGGCTGGGGAACGTTTTGCACAGGTGTGGCTGTAGGAGCAGGAGTTGAAACACTAACTGTAGGCGTAGCAACTGAAACAGCAGAACTTGGGGTCTGATCTTGTGTTGTGGGTGCTGATAAAAGATAAAACAAAAATATGTATCACTCCTTCATAAACCATTTTACTCTATTCATTCATCACTCACTCATTCAGTCAGTATTTAAGGGCCCATTCCATGCACTGCAAGAAATTTGTAACAAGGTCTCTGTCTTCAAGAAGCTTGAAAATAGTTAAAAGAAATATAAAAAGTAACTAAAATACAAAGAGAAATGGGATAAATTTATAGGCATGTAAATCAAGACCCAAAGACCATTTTTAACAGAGAGGTACAGAAAATGTTATGCTGTGATGGAAGACATTGATAGATTAGGATTTCAACAAGGAAAATGACAAAGTGGAAAGAGAAAATAAGTAGTGGGAATAAATAAAAGCAAAGAATAGGAAACAACCAGGAACTATTTATAAAACAGAAGGCAAGCAGTCAACCAGTAAAACACTAGGCATATCATCAGAACTAGTGAGTTATGGCTGGAAAAGTAGGCCAGAGGCACAAAGTAGAAGGCCTTGAACAAAAGTATGTACTTTACTAGGTACGGGAAGGAAAGAACTTATATAAATGTAGAAAATGATCTATAAGAATGCACACCAAAATATATTAACTCATTATATCTTTTTACATATGCTTTCACTTTTTACATATGCTTCTTTTAGACTTTGAATTTTTAACAAGAATGTATTCACGTGTAATTAGTATGATTTCGTGAATATTGAAAAGGGTGTGGGGAGGCTGAATTAAGGTTTCTGTTTTGAAGAATAATCAATGTTCATTTGATGAATTAACTGGCAGATGCATAAGAAAAAGAAAAGAAATAACAAAGGTGGGAAAATCAATTTCAACATATCTGGAATTTTGTCCAAACAAAAAAGAACAGATAGAAAAAAAAATGCAATAACTAATGACTGACTGGATAGAAACAAATAGAATAAAAAACAACTTTGGTTTCTCTATAATTATTTCAAAAGAAAAAAGAAAATAAAAAACAAAAAATTCAGGTTTCCAGTATAAGAGACCAGGAGAATGAGAAATTCAGGATAATTTGGTTTGGCTAATATGTTATTTTTAAATATCAAAATTAAAACGTTTTATCCCTAGTAATTACATTCAAAATCAAACTGTGACCTAAAAATAAAATTCATATTTCTTACAAGTTTCAGTTCTCAAATATTACAAAACATTTTTGTTATTTATTCATAACCCATATAATTTCAAAACAAAAATTCATTGTGGTGATTCACTAGTAAAAAATACTTCATCTTTCTCTTGTTATAAAGAAAAATGTCAAACTCTACCTATATTGAACTAAGAATAAATTTATAAAATTAAATAAAATAAAGCAGTGCTTTCCTAATACTTTATTCTAAGGGAAAGCACACTGTTTAACACAAACCACCCGGTACTCCAACTGACAACAAAATTGGTCAGTAACTTTTTTTCAGCGCCTAATAATGAAAAAACTCACTTAGGCTGGGAAGATGTGAGCAATTTCATACTTGTTAATAAGGGACTCACCTTGGCTAAATAGACAGCAGGGCCAAACAAGTATCTTCAGGGGCCCAGGAATGAATTGTTGGTCTAGCATAGACCTAGCCTTAGGGTACAGTATCATATTAATATAATTTTATAACATTGTGAAAAATACAAATTACATGCAACATTTGCCCAGTCCCATACACATACCATTTAGCATTTGTAATCTATTGTAATGGCTGAAAATATATTTAGTTATTCTTCCCAACTTCCCTGAGAAGTAGGATTTATCAGCATTTTTCACAATCTTGCAGAGGATAAAATGAGTTTATACTCAACTGGAGTTCAAATTATAAATATCTTAATTTTTATTTCCATTTGCCCAGGTCTATACTGCAGTTCACAGAATTACATTTTTAAAAAATATTATGGTAATAGTATGTAGATATAATTACCAAAGTTTTGTACAAATTACTGTAGTCAGAAAATAAAATGTTATAAAGGCATCAAATTCCAAGTGGAAAGGAACACCAATGGAGAAGGCAAAAAGTATTCAATTCAACCCATTTCTCTTGCTGATACAGGATTTTCTGATTTGATTAGTGGAAATAAGTCATGAGAGAAAAAGGATAAAGGCAATAAAAGAATTAAATGGAAACTGGGAAAATGGCAGCTAGGACTTTATAGTAGATAAATTCCTACTAATTCTATCTGCTAAAATAACTGAAACACTAGGTCTCAAAATATATTATTAATCCAGCCTCAGATCTCAACTAGAAAAGGTAAGTGACTGCAACAACAGATGGAGAAATTTTAATACTGTAGCATGACAATACTTCATCACAATGAATCAAGTAAAATAAAAAGACATCAGGAATACTCAGAAAGACATCAAAATTGATGTTTAAAGGCAGTAAAAAGAACGTGATTTTGCTATTCTGTCCTTAGAATAAAGGCCTCCCAATAACTGAAGGGGAGTGCAAAAAATGACAAATTGGAGTGTTCTGACAAGAATAGTTGATAATCACAAGATAGCTATGGGCCTGAAGACCACCCTGATATAGAAATGGAATGTACGTAGGATAAAGTATTTGGCTACCCACTTTCCTTAGAACAAAGTAGTTCTCCTTCCTAAGGCAGAAAACAAAACAGCAGAGCCTCCACATAGAACAACACTGCTTTTATTAATCCCCCTCGCCATTACCACCACAGGTACCCCATAAAAGCTGGCAGTTTTCTGCCCTGCCACATAGGTTTTAGAAGCACTAGCCTATAGAACGGCAAAGACCCTCAAACAGCTAGCTGTTAACTTCCATATAAGAATTCACTGTTATACTTCCATATCAGAATTTATCTTCCTAGTAAGTATATTTTTGTCTAAAAATTATCAAGTAGGGCCTTTAAAAAACTGCCTCCACATTACACGTACCTTATTCTTATAGGTTATTTCTTGTATCAATAAAATAAAGTCAAATTTAAATCTATTATTAAATTTCTCTCATATACATATTCCTTACAATGTACTATATACTAATAATTCCCAAGTCCCTAAAATATTGGGGAAAGGGACATTTTTTATTTTCTTATTTTCATCTCTATTATCCATGTAGCAAAATAATCCAAATTGTAATAACCTTGTGGAGACATGTATTTTCATAACAGTACCATAAATAATCAAAACAATAAAATCATTATTTAAATATTCTGAGGCTCAATCTCAGCTTGCAGAATAAGTGGCAACAAATAAAAAGTAGCAGTATAAATATTAATGGCAATCTTTTAAGCATACTAATATATTATTCTTTCTTCATCCCTAAAAACTGCTATTAAGCACCTCTCATATTTTAGAAAATATCTAACCTTTGGGCCTCTGTAACTTTATACCTGAAAATTCTCTTACCCTTTTGACCACTTCTTTTTCAACTCCTCATTTCATCTGCCTATGTCCCGTTATAGGGTCTATTCACCTCTAAATGAGTACTGAAAAGTTCCTAGTAAGTTTCCAATTTCAACACTACCCAAAAAATGATAATCAGAAAAATCTCCTAGAACACTTCATTTCTACAGGCTCCCTATTACCTGCCTGACTCACCCATTTGCCTGGTTCTTAAAACTCATAATCTGATGTCACTCTTATTCAATTTATTAACCAATATAAACCGTCCCACCTCAAAAGAGTACCTTAACAACCCCCCAAACTACACTTACACTCATTTCCTGAACTTTATCCTGTTCCTCTCTACTTAAGAGACTTCTCCTTACTTTTGAACTTACTCAAATTCTACCACAAATCCTTCATGATCAACCTTAATACCCATGCAATCCACCAACCTGTCTCTCCGTTTTCTCAAATTGTTACACCTTCTATTTTCGCTGTAAATTTTGCACACTATTTTACATGCATTATGCTGGCCTCCTCAATTAGAAAAACTGAAGTTCTGTAAGATAGGGAACAAGACTTCCACTTATTTTGCAAAGCTCACAGCACCCAGCATTACTGTTAGCCAAGTTGAAAAGCTAACTGTACTTCCCCGGTTTAGTTTCATGAATTGCAACTGGGCAAAAAATTTCTTCTACTAATGTAAATTTCTGTTCTTCTTTAACCAAAAGTCTTATGTCAAAAATATTTTTTAAATAACATCAAGGATAATACCTGAAACACTAGTATCATTTTGGAATGCAGTCCCTACTTGTCCATTTCCCTAGCTGCTAAATAAAAACACATGCTGACTGGTACTCACTTGATACTGTCTGCGAAACCGAAGAGGCAGTTGTCGTGGTAGAAGTGGTAGAGGATGGGGTGGATGATGATGTTGAAGTGGATACAGGTGCTGGGCTACTGGTTGTAGGGGTGGAAGCTCCTACTGCTTGTGCTTGCACTTGTGCCTGGGCCTGGGCCTGGGCCTGGGCCTGTGCTTGAGCCTGGGCCTGGGCCTGGGCCTGTGCTTGAGCCTGAGCCTGAGCCTGGGCCTGGGCCTGAGCCTGGGCTTGTGCCTGTGCCTGTGCCTGCGCCTGA